ATGTGGTGCTGGGGGATTGAACCGCGGTCCCTGATGCTTTGCCAAGCTTGTTCTAAGTAGGTGCCTTAGACCACTGAGCCATCTCTCCAGCCCCTCATATAAATTTTTTTAAAAAATGTATTTGGTACAGGGTCTCACTACACAGCTCAGACTCGTGATCCTCCTGATGTAAATGTTGAAGGCAGAGAACACAGGAGTCAGCTAATGATACCAAAAGCAAGGCTTGCTTAGGTGGGGTTTTGTCAAAAAGTGTGACATCTCCTTCCTTTGAATAAGTTAAAAACCAACACATTGAATATATTTAGGATGTTTACTAAAAAATCTAAAGCAAATTTTAGAAATTCAGAAAAAATGGCAGACTCTAGAGGATAGGCACCTGGAAGTATGCAGGGGAAAGTAAACTTTGAAATGCATTTAACAATAGGTGATCAACAGATAAGTAACAGATTAGGGAGTCAAAATTAGTAGAACAGAATGTTAATGGTAGAAAATGGTGGCAAACACACAGATATTCACTGTAAACACTGCTCATGTTTGAAAAGTTTTAATAATATACCAAGGGAAGAGACTATACTTGGATAGAAATCCTCAGCAACCTCTATATATACCACAACTTAAGCAAAGGTGACTCATCAGACAAAATAAGAGGGGATGGAAATTTTCTGTTTTTTCCTTCCCTGGTATCTGTGATGGCCTCATGCCACTGAAATGCAAAACTCCAGTCCACTTTTCTTGCCAACAACCAGCTTGATAATAAACGCTCCCAACTGAAGCAGGCCACATCTGAAAGATTGCCAGGCAGGGCTCATCTGGATCACATTCTTTATGATGTCATCTACTCAAGTTATCTAACTGGTTCATCCACAGATAAAATGGAGGCGGGGGCGGGGGGACGACTACAATCACCTCCAAATGTACACCAAAATGTGTGACAGTGTTCTACAAACAAATATACTTAAACTGACCTTTTATTTTTTTGCCTTTTTAATACTTCACTGAGTCATTCATCTTCAATAAAATACAAACATCTTTAAGCACAACAGTCTGACGGATTCTGATACGTACTCAGGTAGATAAGAAAAATATACAAAGTTCTCTTCTAACCTTTTCCAGTAAATACCCTCCCCACTACAATCCCTAAACAGGAGGCAATCACAACTCTGATTCTTATCACGGTCATGGGGACAGTGTATGGTACTGTACACTATGGAAATTTGTTCTTGGGTTTATTCTGCTTATCATGTCTTTTGAGATTCTTCCATGTTATGGAGTAACAGTTTATTTTTTATCCTTGAATAGTAATACATGTTATGAATATATCTAAATTCCTTATTACTGTGCTGACGGATGTGTGAGCTGTCTCTAGTTTGAGTTACTATGAACAAGGCTGTTATGCATATTCTTACTGCAGAATGTCTATTCTTTTTGGATACATGTCTAGAAGGAGAATGGCAAGTCAGAGTAGGGAATACCTTTAACCCTATTCAAAGTGCCAAATACTATAGTTTTCAAAGTAATTATACTACTTTACATTCTGACTAGCAATATATAAATTATGTATCTTTCACTGCTTAATCAATACTTAGTACTGTCTATGTTTTTTATTTTAGCCTTTCCAGCATGTGTACATCAGCATCTCGCTAGTTTTAACTTATATTTACCAGATGACAAATGATGCTTAACACTTTTTAATGACTTGTTTATTTGGGCATGTTCTTTTCTGAAGTTTGTTAGAATGTTTTCCCATTTCATTTTTTAATTTGAATTGATCTTGAAGGTAGCTTTAATATGATCTTTCTAGGTCTACAGACTTATTCCAAGGCAGTATAAATTAAGTTTTCCAATTTCTGCATGCACCAGTGTTCCCCAGAGTCAGAATAGTGCCTGCATATTACGGTAGGCCAGTAAACGCTTGTAGAATAAACAAATAAACACTTGCATTTCCAGTTTGGTAGATAAAGGGAATTAAGAAGAGAAAATGGAATTTACTTTCTTGGCTTTATTTTAAAAATACTATCACTGTTTTTTTAATCTGTCACAACTTTGTCTTTTGTATATGGAACTTTTCCTATAACAGCTAGGACCAGATCAGGGTTCATAGAGCTAATCATCAAAATGTTTACGTACAATATGAATGTTGAATTGCTAAATTAAAATAAAACACATATAAAAAGAAAGGACTTATAGAATTGCAGACAAGGGGAAAAAAGCTAACAATGTTAGTGAAACTAGACTTTTCCTGGAATTATCCTTTCTGGAGTCTATCAAAGCTCCCAATTAGAAGTTGTTTACATCTAGAAACAGATAAATACTCTATCACTTAAGCCTCTGTTTAAATGAGGGTTCACCATCTGAAGAGTTCAGTCACTAAGCTGTGAAAACCATATGAGAACTGGAAATCAAGACTCTTGGTAAGGAAACACTATCACTGTGGGTATAAGGTATGTCTGCATCTCAATGCAGAGGAGGATGCTAATTACATGTCAGCTTGACACAGGCCACAGGAAGAATGGCTTTGGACAATCTGGTCCAAAGCCATGCAAGGGAAGGAGGTAAAGGCTGCTGCTTGCCCCAGTTTTCCCAATGCAGATCTGCAATGTTACCTGAAGTGTTCGGCGCTTGTTATCCTCTGTGTGGATCCAGGCTCGAAGAGTCAGCTCTGTGATAAAAATCTGGGCTGCCTTGGCAAAGAGTACAGGGGCTTCTGCACTGATCATCTGCAACAGATGTAGGCCCTCCCTGTCAATCACCAGCAAATCATCCAAACCTGTCAGATGTCTCTTGACAAAAGTTGAAATATAAAAAGGTAGTAGCTGAAGAGATTCCAAGGGAAAATAAATTAATGAGCAGAGACAAAGCAGGTAACAAGACAGGAAGAAGGAAAGAATGCTAACTGATCTGGCACCTACTATGCACCAGATCCTATGCAAAGTGCTTTCTTACGCTCAAAATTTCAAAGAAACTAGAGTTTAAAAGGGATGATATGATGTGCCCACAGTCATAGAACCAGTAAATGGCAGGGTTTAGGTTCTAATCTAAAGAAAAACAATGTAGGAAAAGATAATGATCTTGAAAGCTAATGGACATGGGTAATATCTCAGACTTCTCATTTTTCTGGACTTTCACTAATACCGAAAAAGATGTAACTTTCCAGGGTTATCATGGGGATCAAATGAGACAGCACAGATTTTGGCATATAGTAAATTCTTGAGCTGTCTTGATGTATCTGACTTCCGAGTTCAAGCTCTTAGTCAAACAAGTCTCTAAATCCTTGGTGAGGTGGTCTATGCAGCAAACAGCCGCAGGAAGAGCTTAAAAAAAGGAAGTAGGAGATAAAAATTGGAATCTTAGTTCTACTACTATCAGTGAGTCACTTCATCTCTTGGTGTCTACTTCCACATCTATCAAATTGTACTAAGAATTCTTATCCTTGATCAAATCTCACAGGGTTAATAAAAGGGAAAACTGCTATAAACTGTTAGCTTTCTATACAAATACAAGAGACTGCTAATTTTGAGAGGTAAAGTGTCATAATGGGAGGTAGAGTCCTAGGAATATAGAAATGACCAACCCTAAGGAAATCCTCTCAAAGGTATAGTTTATTCATGTAAAATAAACTCAAAGAAAAAAAGTCAGTATCTACATTAGAACTTTCTTAGAGTTGAGATTAATAAAGATTACAGCAAGATGATAACATGATAGCACCACCCTGTTGCTATGATGATACATGTCATTTATACTACATAGAGTGAAAAAAAAATTGGGTGATACCACCCAATTTCAAAAGAAATATTCAACTCAGCACCTTTTCAATTATCTGGAAAAAACTAGGATATGCCAAATTTTCACAGAAGCATCATATAATAGTTAAAAGCATTTATTTTCAGCTCTTAGTTTTACTGAAAACAAATTATTATTTTTTCTTTTAATAATTTTATTAAATTTTTAAAAACAATATCTTAATTAAACTGAGCTCATGAGAAACAAGCAATATCATAGCCATCACTTTAGTTTCAAAATGAATGATATAAATGACTCACCTTCACATCTTCATCCAGTTTCATAATCTTCTTAATACGAGCAAGTGGGAGTTCTTGTACTCGGAAATCTTTCTGAAACAAGCAACACAAGGAACATAAGTGGCAGGGATAATCAACAAGGTGGCAGAATACCACTGACAATAGCAAACACTGACTGGCTTAGACCCTCCTTTCAGGAAAAGAGACGGGAGAGATGAAATTTTAAAAAAAGGATCAGAGAAAAATTCTTCTTAATGTGTGCAAAACACGAAATAATTATAAGGCTTTAGGAAAAACTCAATGACTACTAATAGTGCCCTCATGAAAGGTAACATCAACCATTATCAGGGTTCTTTTTCTTTGCCTCAGCTCAATACTGGGTAGAGTACATGTGCTTTCTTTGCTAAGTAAGTTTACTGCCTGTAGTATGTACACTAGTGTGAGATTTCTGCTTCAAGAGCATTACTCTAAAACACCAGTTCTTGGGGCTGGTGAGATGGCTCAGTGGTCTAAAGCACCTACTTAGAACAAGCTTAACAAAGCACAGGGACCATGGTTCAATCCCCCAGCACCACATGCCAGCCAGCCCTGCACCCTGGTGGGCTGAGCTGCCCCCCCCCCACAGACACACACACAAATTAAAAAAAATTAAATTAAAAAAAAGATTTGATTAAAAAAAAATAAAACACCAGTTCTTTAGGGACTCTTAAGGGAAAGGGTCAGCTATACCTGATCACAATGACCCATACTTCTTAGCTAGTATAATACTAGTCTTTCTGACCTTTGCATTAACCTGACAACAGAAACTGAGAACAGGGTGCTTTCTCATTATAGCAGCAAAGGCCCTGTCTCCCAAATTTATTTCAGGATGTGAATGGAAGGAAATGGGAAAAAGGTGACAGGGGATTTTCCAACTGCTGTTTACCAATAGCTCTACTACATTTTCTTAACGAAAAGTACTAGGGTAGAAAAAACATGTAACTTCATGTGGTTGGAATTTAAGAAAGGGCTCTCTGACTAGAACTACTCAGTTAAGTGTTACTTGAACCTTCTCCTGTTTTATTTTGAAAATACTGGTATTTTAAACACATGCCTCATGATGGATGCAATTCTAGAAATAAAAATACATGTATGAGTTTCAGAGCTGCCATGAAGAGAAAGGTGCAAAGGCAGAGGCAAAGATCAGTAGAATTTCTGCTCGAACTAGGTGTCAAGGGATGGATTCTACACATGGTCTGAAATATAACTCATCAAATTCAATACTATCACCTGGAAATCTGCATAATCACATTATAGAAAGAAGACCTATTATTATTTCAGATTTAATGAAAGTAACAAGCACAAGTGAACTCTCTTTTCTAAAAACCAACAAAAAATTTCATATATATGCCAAATAGGACAATTCTGGGAAACCATGACCAGGCTTCCCAAAAACCTACCTTATGATTACAGAAGGAAGAGTAACCATTAGAACCAAGGTACCTAATTTCTCTACCAAAACTCAAAAAAGTTGTTTGGTTATTACCGAGCACTATAAATTTCAAATATCAACTTTTCATTTTTTTTTTTTTGTGTGTGGTACCGGGAATTGAACTCAGGACCCTGTGCTTGCCAGGCAAGCACTTATTCTACTGAGCTATCTCCCCAGCCCAGTTTTTCCTCTTTCAAATCAGGGATCAACATTCTTTTGTGAAGCCCCTAGTAAAACTAATCCTGGACTGGCAGAAGCTTAGAAGTCCACTTTACTAAAATTTCACTGAAAGAAGATGTCAGGGCATGTTCTTTTTATTCTTTTTTTCTCTTCACTTTCATTTACTCACTCATGCAACTCAGGGCCGGGGAGATGGCTCAGTGGAATAAATGCTTCCCTGGCAAGCACAAGGGCCTGAGTTCAACCCCTGGTGCCACGAAGGAAAAAACAAAACAAAAAAAAACCCCTCAACTAATGGTATATGATACCTACTAGTAAGTAAAGATGTGTATCCTTTCCTGCTTTTGAATAGCTTGTAATTTGTCAGAGACAATCACAAAAAAACACTGTAATCCCTATCCTATACTAGAGGGGAAGGTATATAATTTCTGAGGGACATAAAGAAAAGAATAACCAGTAGGACATCTGCGGCTGGAAGGCAAGAGGAGGAGTTACAAAATGTCCCATAGGAGGGAAAATAGTGGACATGTTTCTAAGAGATGCTAAGAATGTACCAGGATGTTGTTCAGAGAGAATAACAAGCACAGAAGCAAAGAGACCCCAAAACATGACCAATGAAGTTGTAGACATACAACCCTCTAAAACACAAAGGGGAACAGTAGGAAAAAAGGAGGCTAGATCAAAGCCAGTTTCTGAAAGTATTTTTTAAAATGTTTATTCACTGAAATCAATCTCTTGTTTTCCTTCTTGTATAGCACATCACACAAAATGACAGTATTACCACCAGCGCCAGAGAAAAAGTGAGGGATGCTAATTTCTGTGCAAGTCCTCCCCAGATGATACACACAAAATGTGAGTATGACCACAGCACTAGCTTTTTTGGAAGTGTGCTCTCATTTTGCTCAGTTGTTTAATATACTTTCCACAAGATTGCTAAATGCTACCTTACAAGTTCTATGAGACTATACTCCAATCAAAAGGGAACAAAAAAGGGCACAGATAAAGAGATGTAACTCCAACCTCCTAGAGATACAAAATGAGGCAGAAACTTAAAAAATGCTTGCTTTAAGTCCCTACCTTAACCATATAGTTGGCAAGAAACTACTTTTCCATGATCTCCAAACTTTTAGGATCTCAAGGGCATGTGTGGAAAGTGGGTCCTGAGGGGTGTGTGTATGTGGTAGATGATTGCCACTGTTTCTAAAACCTATCCCAGCTTTCTAATCACCTATACAGATTTGCACTTTATGAGGAAGAGCCCCTCACTACCAGAAGACTGCAATCTACTGAATCAGCTTCCAATCTGATGCAGCCAGAGTTATCTGCACCCCTGTATTGATGTGAACAATATTAAAACTCTTCGCTGGTGCTGACCCAAGTATAACAGCAAAAAAACACAACTGTTTCCCTCTACTTTTAGGAGTAGTACCACTAAATAGATGAGCAGATTCCCTCTTAAGAGTATTCTCACCAAAAAAAAAAAAAAAAGCTTGTATTAAAAATGCTGCCACTGGCTTCTGTTTCTTTGGAGGAGCTCCAGTCCTTTTGCCTTCACCTTGGACATCTTCTCCTGGCCTCCAGTGAAAACTCTGGCACAGATCCTCTGACCTTCTGGAAATAGACTTTTCAGCCTTCCTTTGCAGACCTATTGGACTCCTGAAATGAACTCGCAGGTGACACTGGACTGTGCTTCAAACCTTGAACTGAATCATTCAGATCTCCAGGGCATAGACAGACCCTCTGTATTCTTCCCTGTCCAATTCTGTGAGTGGGCACTGTAAACCAATCTTGTAAATTCTTACATATTTGTGTATCTTCTGTTATAGCCGTTTCTCTAGTAAAACACTGATATTCAATCCCCTGTTCCATCAAAAACAAAAACAGAAACAAAAACAAAAACCCACTACTGATATACCATACAATCCAGCAATCCCATTACTTGATACATATCCAAAGAAACTAAAATCCCTATGTTAAAGTGATATTTACACTATTTACAATAGGCATAATATGGAATTAAGCTTCCATCAACAGATGAATGGATAAAGAAAATGTAGTAATTATATGCATACAATGGAATGCTATTGGCCATAAAAAGAATGAAGTGCTGTCATGGTGACAGTATGAATGAATCTGGAAGATATTAGATTAAATGAAATAAACCAGCAAACCAAAAAAAAAAAAAAAAAAAAAAAGCTGCCATCTCAAACAGACAAATTTCAAGAGGCCTGAATTCACTCAATGACAGTCTGAAGCCAATGAAGTATCAATGGATGTCATGCTGTACCAAAGAAGGCAGACTTTCAAATGATAAGTTTCTTCTAGGACTGGCTAGCTGACATCTGGGAAGGTCAAAATCCCAATCCTTTTGAAATGGTGATTCTCAACTTTGGCTACAAGTTGGAATCTCTTGAGAAGGTTGTGAAAGACAAGATGCCTGGGTTCTCCTGCAGGTCACCAAATCAGAAACTCTAGGGGTGGAGTCTTGGCAGGTTTCTGCAAACTGTCCTGATAACTATGATCCATAGTGAAGGTTAAAAACCATTGCTTTAAAGTTTTACTTCACAAAGTGGTAACTTTAGGTAAGCAGAATAATGGTATCACTTAGGAACACACATCTTGGGAGAGTTTTGGGCTCCACTCTCCATCTACTAAAACAAAATCCACCTTAACAAGGTCTTCCCTCCCATCATTCACACAGATACTAAAGTGTGAGAAGCACTATTCTACAGGAAGGATTCAAACACAGGTTCTTTTTTTATATAACACAGGTTCTGCTTTGTAAAGAACCACCAGCTTTTGCCATCAAGTTCTCAAATAGTTATTTGATCACAATGTTAGAAACGTCATTGTCCAATCTAGTGGCACCAAAGGATGAAAAGATAAAACTGCCAATTAAAGGAAAGTTACCTAGGTATTACATTATAACTAATTAAATTAATAAATTAAATATCGCTAATTAAATTATAGTGAAGGCTGAATAGGATGTAGGGAATAAGTTAAGGACTAGATTTTTCTCTTCACAGCAAGGTCGTGCATGCTTGTAATCCTTGCACTTAAGAGAGACTGAGGCAGGAGGACTGCCATGAGTTTAAGGTCAGCCTGGGCTATGTGAGTGAGTTCAAAGACTAGAAGACATTTTCAAAACCTTGTTTCCAAAAGAAAGAAAGAAAGAAAGAAAAAAAAATTGCCTTCTTCTCCATTTTCAAAGAGGTCCAGAGGGATATTCAAAGCCATGAAGTTCATTACAGCCAACTGTTGTGGTGTACAACCGTGACCTCAGCACTTGGGAGGCTGAGGCACAAGGGTCACTGTGAGCTCAAAGTTACCATGGACCACACAGCAAGACCCTGTCTCAAAAAACCAAAAGGAACAAACAGAACCCATTACTTACTGTTCCCTAGAATTCTAAAAATCTGTCACACATTTTTATATGATTTCTAACCAACCTGAATCCTAGCTGAAAACCTGGATGAAGAACAGAGAGCTTTTAAACACAAAACGGGAAACATGATCACCCAGCTAAAATGAAAGCTAAATTCCTTTTGTAGAACTAAGACTAAAATGACTCTGGCCAGAGTGTCTACTACATCATGAAATGTATCAAGCTACAAAATTTCAATCAGACTTTACCTACTGTTGAGTTCTAGGAAGACAGACTAAATGCCCATCCAGGTGTGGTGGTGCACACTTGTAATCCCAGAACTTGGGAGACTTACACAGTGAGTTCAAGGCCTTTGGAACTACACAGAGATCCTGTCTCAGACTGCCCCTCCCGGTCAACGGGTGTTCAGCCATGTTGCATATGCAGAGGTATAATCTAAAAAACAGATGCCTTCAAGAGAGTCACAGAACCCAAGCACAGAGGAAAGCAAGTCTTATAAAGAGAAAAAATCTTCCCAATTTTATTGGACCACATTTTCACTAAAATTTGGAATTCATGGTTCTCTGCACTAAATCTAAAGTGGAGGACTCTGATTCACTCAACCACTTATTGTGCAGTTACTACACGTCAGACACTTTCTAAGCAGGTGATACCATAGCATCATAGCATGGTAGAGGCCTAAGAGTCTTTTCCAATGATGTGTGTGTGTGTGTGTGTGTGTGTGTGTGTGTGTGTGTGTGTGTGGCCAGCTTAGGAGGGAAACTGTAGTTATGAACAGAAAAATGCCCAGAGATTAAACCTAAGACTTTACCACATGCTGGGCTGGCAGTTTATCCCTGGACTACATTTCAGCTCAGTAACTTTTTTCTCTTCCTTCACTCACAAAACTAAGCCAAACTGAATCCCTAGTTACCAATTCTCTTGAAGCCTCTCATTGACTGTATTTCTACATACTAAAATTTGGTCAACAACACAGTCTAATAATAATCTAAGGTAATCTAAGGTAAATAAAGTAGGTTCAAGATGAAAGGCCAGGGTCTCAAAAAGCTAAGTACACATCCATGTACACATCAGTACTAACATAACAGCTAATGGATGGAAGCACTCAAGTATCCATCAGCAGACAAATGAAATAACCAAAATGTGGTATATACATATGATGGGGTATAATACTCATCCTTTAAAACGAAGGAAAAATTTTTTTTTAAATTTTATTTATTTATTTATTTATTTATTTATTTATTTATGTGTGTGTGTGTGTGGCCAGCTCAGCCAACCAGGGGGCGGGGCTGGCTGGCATGTGGGGCTGGGGATTGAACCGCAGTCTCTGTGCTTTGCCAAGCTTGTTCCAAGAAGGTGCTTTAGACCACTGAGCCATCTCACCAGCCCACGAAGGAAATTTTGTCACATGCTACAACACAGATGAACCTGAAGACATTATGCTAAGTGAAATAAGTCAGTCACAATATGACAAAAATGGTATAAGTTCACTTATATAAAGTATCTAAAGCACTCTAGTTCATAGAATCAGCAAGTACAATGGTGGTTACTACAGGCTAAGAAAGGGCAGGGTAAAGAGTTTCAGATTTGTAAAATGAAAAAATTCTAAAGATGTGTTCCAGAACAATGTGAATATACTTCACATACTAGTGAACATTTTAAATGGTTAGGGTAGCAAATTTTGTTTTTATCATCACAACAACAAAGTCCATGAAGATATAGAAAAGTTAAGTGCTGAGTGTCCTAACCACCAAAATGTTTCTGACCACTGGCCTAACCCTAGATTTACATTTCTGACCTCCAGCTGAAGCACAGAATTGCTGTGCTGGCCTCATCCTATAAACCCCAGGTGTGCTAGTTTTACATTAGGCTAAGCCCAGTACCAAAACCTAGTAAGCTTAATCTATAGATTATACCTCCAAAATATGAGCAAAACATCCTACTTTTGACTTCACCATTTCATTATTTTCCCTTCTCTTTTCTATCTGACATAGTATGGATAACTACCACTTTGAGACTGCTAAAGAGAAATAATAACTTTCAGTAGAAATCCACTCTGAACAAAGGCCACTATGAGAAGGCCAAGCCATAGCAAACTGCTGAAAAGCCCTCATATAAACAAACACTATCAACATATATATCCAGAATATGAATTGGTTTTTACCCTTAAAGCCAGTGAGCATTTAATCACAGGGAAGTTATTACACTGGTTACTTATTTACAGTCTGTCTTACCAGCTACACAAGTGTAATAATCCTGTCTGTACAGTGCACTCTGAGATCCACAGACTCTAGCACAGCTGCCATTCATGTAAAATAAGTCTTCTGTCGAATGACAGAATAAAGTGACCTTGTTTATCAGCAGGTATTCTTAGACCACTAAGCCTAAGCCATTACAATACTAGCTCAATCAGTGAGGAAGCCAGTGTTTGCTCTGCTGGGTTGTTAACAACATACTCTGTACTGGGAGCTCCTGCAGTATTTGCTGCAGCCCTCTCACACATATACTGTACTCCTACCCACTTCTCCCAACTCAGGAACTCCTAGCACTCCCAGATGCTTGCTGTTCCTGTACACACAAGGCTCTCCACTCTGGGCCTCTGTGGTTTTATACAATACTCTCCCTGCTGCAAAAGACATACTCTCCCATCCTTTCCACCTTATGAATGCTTACTCATATCTCAAGACCCAATAAACATGTTGCCTTAACACATTTGTGGCAGGGCGGTAATTTGTACGTCTTGTTGCTTGTTAGCTCTCATTTAATTTTATTACTAAAAAGATAGATAAAAGTGATTAGATCTGTTTGTAACACCAATAGCTCAAGCCACATGATGGGACAGTCATACATGTCCACTAGTGGCCTAAGCCAGTAGGAATGTATTAAAGTCTTCTCTAACTCAATTACAGAAAAACAAGTTCTATGTCCTCCATGTTCCCATAGCACTTTGCCTTTTACTGCTTCAAGACTCACTGTCATGTCTAAATGACAATGGTTACCAATACTAGACTGTAAACTCAAGGGTCAGGCTTTGCTTCTCCTGTCAGTGGTTCTCAATAGGGGATGATTTTACTCCAAAGGGATATTTGCCAACGTCTGGAGACATTTTGAGTTGTTCCATCTGGGGGAGGGCTTCACCCAGTGAATATAAACTAGGAATGCAGCCAAACACCCTACAATGCACAGAGTAGTCTCCCATAACAAAGAATTGCCTGGCCCAAAATGTCAAAAATGCGTCGTTTGAGAAACTGATCTTTATCTTTTCACTGGGAAGAGTGCCAGGCTCACAACAAATTTGTTTTGAATAAATTGCCTAATGTTTTCTCCAAGTTCTAGAAATATGACAGGGCCACTTAATTAGGTCTAAAACTGATCTATGGATACTGTGGGAATTTGAAATGTTTTCTTCTCCATTCTTTATAATATATGCCTCATTTAAGATGATCTCCAAGTAAAAACACACACATGTCCAAGGAGAGTCACCTATAAATAAGGACACTCTCTGTAGCTACCTCACCTAAGGTAAACTCCATTTTCTTTTCTTTTTATTTTTTTATTGAGAAATAAATATGAATGAGACAGTTTCACAGCTGATTAACAGGACAGTTTTGATAGTCAATACACTGTACATTGTTATCTTCTTATAAACTCCATTTTCATTTTCCTATGTACAGGTCAGGAATGCACTATGCTTTGTACAGGTACTTGAAGTTAGAAATGTTTTAGACTTAAGTTTTTATTAATAATCTTTAGAAGTTTCACATTCTTACCACTGTTAAATTCCGGATTTCTTCCATGACACGAGGCCAGAAGGACTGGAGGCTCTGCTGGGCATCACTGCTGCTAGTACCACCAAACCCTCCTTCTGTGGACATTTCGAAAACTAAAAACACAAAACACATTAGAAATGTCAGACTTTGTGTTCAGTCAATAATTTTCTTTGTAGATTACTATCAAGAACATATAAAGAACTTAAAAAAAAGAATGAGACATTCCAAACTTAAAGACCCAATCCAAAAATGGGCATTCAAGATGACTACATACTTCTAGATAAAATAGAAATAATAAATAAATACATGAAAAAATGTTCAACATCATTGGTCATTCAAGAGATGCAAATTAAAACACTAAGATTCCATCTCACCCTACAAAGAATGGCTATTATCAAGAAATCAAACAATAACAAATGTGGCAGGGCTGTGGGGAAAAAGAAATCCTTCTCCACTGTTGGTAGGAATGTATACTGGTGTAACTGTGGAAATCAGTGTAGAGATTTCTCAAAAAACTAAGACCTAGCCATTCCCCTCCTGCATTATCTTCCCAAAAGAATTAAAAGCATCATACCACAGAGACATATGCACATCCATGTTTATAGCAGCAGTTTATAATAGCCAAATCTTAGAAACAACCCAAGTGCCCATCAACTGATGAATGGATAAAGATTTTTTAATACAACCGAGTATTACTCTGCCATAAAGAAAGATATGCTGGAGATAGTTGTAGGAAAATGAGTGTGGCTTGAGTCCATACTCTTAAGTGAATAACACTGGACACCTGTGAATACCACGTTGCTTCTCTGGTGTGAGAAACCAAAAGTATAAATAAGGACCAAAATGTATTTTGAAACAGGAGGAAAATGTTCAAATGGGGAAGGGAACAAGAGAGAAAAGAAGCAGAAATGAAGGAGAAAAGTTAAAAAAAAAAAAAAAAAGAGAGAGCAAAGGAAAACATGGAAACAAAGCTTTGCAAATGAGAAGGGGAAGGGGGTTTAAGGGAGATAGAGAAAAGGGAAAAAAACCAAGGTATATCATACTGGTATAGATTCTCTACGATGACTGTGATTTTATGTGTATCCCAAATGTACCAATAAAATCTAATGAAAAATGAATAAAAGCTTAAAAATTATTTCTTTGTGATTGTTTTTGCCAATCTGTTCAATTTTTCACTCTGATAAAGTATATACTTGAGCTAAAAAGACTTCTGGCAGATTTAAATCTCAGCAAAAACATTTGGTGAAAAGTTTTCCCTTCAGTCTAGCTTATACCATAAAGACTACTGAGGAACCCTAACTAGAAAATCAAAAGTTGCTAAAATCCAATCTGAAATTTTGATATGAATCAAAAATTCTAACTTCTTACTGGTGGCAGAGAAAGCACCTTGTTCCTCTACACTGGTCCATCATTTTCAATCAAAACCCCTTCAAAGCTTTTACAAGTTCTCCATGGCTTTTCATATTCTCTCATAGCCTATAGCAAATATATTATGGGTCCCTAGAGGTTAACCTCGAAGAGAAATGACATGTAAACCTAAAACTTAAAACAATAAATGAGAGCCAAATTTGTTGTTTTGGATAATGTGGCCCTATTTCTGTGGAGCTACTACTAATGATGATTATTCTTTCTAACACCCAACAAATCTATCTCAAAGGACATAAAAGTGAAAGAACAGGCTAGTAACTGAGTAAGCGGCATGAAGATTCTGAACTGAAAGTACACATTTTACAATTCTTTCCTAATGCCATAAAGCTGAAAACAATGAAGAATTGAAATCACCTCTTTTGGTCAAGGACTTTGTGATGGAGTAAGGAAGATGTGTTCCCATATTAGCTGCAACCAAACAAAATAATACTGTAATGACTTGAAGATTTACAGAAGGAAAGTAAAAAAGTTCCAGATGATCTACATGCTTACCTGACAAACAGCTGAATCCAAGAGGCAGTATAATTAAGCACAAAGAACAAGAAACTCAGTGATCTCCTAAGAATTTCTATTCTGAGGAATTATTTGACAAGTTTAACATGTCAGTGACAAGATGCTGACAGCTACAAAAATCATCCCAAGTGACTAGAAGAGCACCAAAGCCAAGCATCATATGACCAAACATGTAGCTTTCCCTCTCCATGGTGCTCATGCTCCACTGAGAGAGTGCAACAGAGGCCAATAAATGGGAGGTTTAGCTGTCCAAGATGGTCAACTCATTTGTAAATCTCTGCCTAGGATTGTCCTAAGGATCTTATTTTTTTTCCCCTCCATTTTCCTTCTACAGAAAATGATGAGAGGAAAGAAATGGAAGGAAAACAGGAATATAATCTTCAAAGCAGATTTCACTCTAGTGTAATGACATTAGTGGAAGATGATGTAATGGGAAAAGGTCTGGAGACACTTTCTGTTGCTGGAGAGCTATAAACAGCTCTCTATACCTCAACACGACTCTAACTACTGGGGAAGCAATAAGTACAACCTTGGAAGTTTCTGGAAGGAGTTAAAGGGGCAGCTGAATCACAGTTGGAAATGACTAGATAAAATCTTGAGTCCTAAATAATGCAGCAAGGTCCCCACAACTTAGTTCCCATGACATTTTCACTTATCCCCCACCATATGCACATTAGATGTATCTACTGCTTTAGATGTATCCAGAACAAAGAAATTAAAGCTACCTAGAGAATTTTAGTAATCTATTTTCATCAATAGTCTATGAGGTATTAATAACAACGAAGAGAATGAGACTCAATTTTTTTTAAAACAGGAAATAAAATTCTGGAAATGAAAATAATTATCACCCCCTGAAAAAAGCTAACCTTTTATTGTGAGAATCTGTGGACCAGCATGACCTTACCTGCCATGCAAACTACTACACAGTTAAAGGAAGAACCTGCATGGTTACCAATGACATCCTTCTAATATTTGCTAATGACAGATTTAGTTGGAGTGCAAATCTTTGTAAGTTTTACAAGTTTTAACTCTCCTCTGATTTATCCCCATAAACATATTACAAAGGCACACAATTCAGGCATGTGTGGTGGCACATGCCTATAATCTCAGCACTCGGGAGGCTGAAGCAGGAGGATCAAGAATTTGAGAACAGCTTGGGCTAAACTACAAGTTCTAGGACTATACAATTACACAGCAAGATTCTGTATCATTCTCTCCCCCCCACCGATGAAGCACTTTTTATAATCATCTGTGTAGTGTGCTTTAAAATTCTGAATTTCTCTATGAATACATGATCAGTCCCCCAAAAATCTGTGTATCAACAGATCATGAATATTCACCTGGCTCAAAGCCATACTGTTATAGTGGGAACTGTAAACAGAACAGAAGCTATCAAATAGTTCTAGAACTGAAAGCATATTAAAAGTTAAATATTTGAGGGGGCCGAGGAGTTAGCTCAGTAGAATAAGTGCTTGCCTGGCAAGTGCAAGGGCCTGAGTTCAATCCCTGGTTCCGCAAAAAAAAAAAAAAAAAAAAAAGTTAAATATTTGAACCATCTACCTGTGTAGGATCCTGCATTCAATCTCCAGTAGGGGAAGGGGCATGAATGTTAAGTTTTCAATTACAGAAACTTATTTGCATTAAAGAATTACAAACGGAGCCAGGCATGGTATCACATGCATGCAGTCTCAGCACTCTGGGAGGCTGAAGCAGGGGGACTGCCAAGCCCAAGTTGTGCCTGGACAACCTAATGTGACTATCTCTAAACAGGCTCAGTGCAAAGACCTTTAGGTCAGTGGTGATGAACCTGTCACATATATTCTGAAGTGGGCTGTTATCACTGAAAGCTCTAAAAGGTTTACCATCACTGCCTTAGGTTCAATAAACAGTACTAGAAAAAAATACAAATGGGCATTAGCCCCTTCCCCCTCAAAAAAAAGGTTAATAATAACATTCCTTACATAGTTTACAGCAGCAGAGATTTTAGGGGGGAAAAAAAAAGACATCCAGGCCCACCCCTCTTTTCAACTTTTATAAGACTCACAACTCTTTTTTTAATCTCTGTCCCACTTTCACAGTTCTACCGTTAAGTGGTCATCCAGCTTAAATTTGAGTTCTTGCCACTTCAGTTAGGAAAAATGGCTTACTGGCAAGGCACTCTTTTCCATCTCTGGACAGCTATGACTGCTCTTTACATTAAAAGTTAAATTTATAAGCAATGTTCATTCCATCTGAGCTTTGGATTTGAGTTACAGTCTTTATGATTTTTTCACCTAGCAAGTTCTTTTCATACATTCCTGACTTCAAAAGACAAAGATACTCTCCCTATTTATGACAGCAGATCCTCTCTCAAGGAAAAAAAGAAAAAGTTTTAGAGCATGTCTTCTTGAGTTACTTTTTTTTTTGAGACAGGGTCTCACTGCAGTTTAGGATGGTCTTGTACTCACTTTTGTAGCCCCCAGGCTGATCTCAAATGCTCAGAGATCTTTCTGTCTCAATCTCCCAGAGTGCTGGGATTACAGGCTTGTGCCACCATGCCTGGTTCTGGGGCACACAGACGGTGCCTAGGGATCTCGGGCTGAGACTGTACTGCATGTGGGAGGCTAGGGATTGAACTTGGGTCCTTGTGCTTGCCAGGTAGGTGCTTCTGCCTCTGAGCTATCTCCCCAGCCCAGTACTGTACTTTTATTCAGAAGGCTTCCTATTCAATATTAAGATGAAATATTAATTTATATTAATTAAATATAAATAATACATTAATTTATATTAACTTCTCTCCAAATTAAGATGAAATCTCAAAGTAATACATTTTGTGAAAGATAGTATTCTCAATATTTTTTCACTGAGTTATGATTTAACATTAAAGTAAAAAAGCCTAAATGTAAGCACAAATTGATTTTGTTGGCCACACACTTCAACAAGTTAAAACATATGAAGCAACTTTAATTAATACCCCTTATGCTATTAACTATGACATTAATGGCACTTTAACTGATACTGCACAGAAGAAGCCCATTTATAACATACTAGGTTCATATGGGTGAAAGCAAACACTTAAATGTTAGAAAAGATTAATTCTAGGACTCTTTTTATTCCATCGCAAGTCACTATCTCTATCACTGGGTAGAGCTATTTATATAAAGCTGACAAAGACAAAACTCTTTTAAGACCA